GCACAGGTTGCCCAGAGAGGTAGGGGAAGTCCCATCCCTGGAAACATTCAAGGCCAGGTTGGACAGGGCTCTGAGCAACCTGGTCTGGTTGAAGATGTCCCTGCTCACTGCAGGGGCGTTGGGCTGGATGACCTCTAAAGGTCCCTTCCAACCCAGAGCATTCTGTGATTCTGTGATACCCTGGATGATGTACTTCAGCAATGGTGGCACCAACACTGTGACCAGAAAGGACTTAATTCTGTTTCATATCAGAGGGCGTTACTGCTGAGATACATGGGAGATGAACACGCCTAAGTATAGGTGTCTGCATGGGTGCTGCATGTCTAAGCTTCCATTTCGGAGAGCTAAGGCTTTTCTTGCTTAAATGTAGGTTGTCTAGTGGCATTTGAGATGCTGTACGGTATCCAGGACACGTAGACGGGGCTGACACAGGACCTGTGGAAAACCCATGCCCTTCTGCCACAGGAGCTGGAGGCCAGACAAGACATGCAAGGACGTCTCAAGTGGCACCAGAAGCTCAGCAGCTGAATCTCACCCCTAGCAAAAGTCTGAAGAGCGATGTGGCACGGTAGCTACTATGTCCCTTGAGCCCAATCATTTCTAGGTTCTGCTGTCTAATTACTTAGACCACCACTAGCTATTAACAGACATTTATGGCTGAATTCACTTGCCCACACATAGAGGTCTTGTGCCATTTGGGGTGCCCTAAGGAGTCCCAGACATCTGCAGGGTGTTGGTTGGTGTGAAGCAAGATATGCAGAAGACCAGTGTCATCCTGGAAAAGTAGCTGAATGCCAGGCAGGATGCTCCAGGGCACCTCAGAAGGCATCAGGCAGGGTCAGGAGGACTGAGCCCACAAAGAATTCCTAGAGGTATAAAACTCTAGAGATTCTTACAGACTGGAGAATGATGTGACTTTCTTTAGGTGAGTCTGTGCAAGGATTCCTGACCCTCTCACCCATTCTCCAGATGCATTTGACTGACACAGTGCAAAAGACAAGGGGTAGAACCCAGAGGTTCTGGCTGCACAGCAGGAAACAGCGTTTTGTTTCAAGTTGCTTGCAATTGATTTTTTGTTCTTTTCAGTCAAATTCAGTTCTCCAGCAAAGTTGATAAATCTGAGCCTGGCCTGTCATACATTTAAGGCTTCTTAGAAAATTGAAGGGGAAAATAGCGACTAGGATGTGGACTATTAAAATTTCAGTCCAGATAACTGAAGAACAGCCAAATCTGCCTGCTGTACTTACTACAGAGTTAAATCAGGATCATTATCTTGCAGAAGTGCATTTTGCTTCCTCTATATAATGAATCTTTATTGTGTGTAGTAATGATATACTTTCAGATTTTCCATTCGAACAAATATAGATGAGCAGGTAGGTGTACTGACTGCAAATAGGATGCTTTCAACCAAAAGCAAATAATTTTGCTTGCTTTTTGTTTCTTTTTCTAGCATCAGAATTTGCTGTGTGCATTAGCGGGTAACAGACAAGACGCGGTGTTCTGAAACAACGTGGTGATAAGCAAACCAAATGTAACCTTTGCTGATTTTGATGATAACCAGACAGTGCCCCTTCAGCACGTACAGACATGTGATTATGTTAAGTATGAGTTGTCAGGTGCATTCACATTGAAATAACATTTCATGTTCAGGTATAAAAGCAATTCATCAGGAAGGTCCTGCTGCACTTCACAGTACAGAGACAGTGAATAACCAATATTCCAATATTCTTTAACATAATTAAGAAATAGATACACAGCTAAGGAATTACGATAAAGAAGTAGTTTGTGCACTAATCTTGAAAGCACATAGAAAAATGTTATCGTTTAAATAATATTTTATTATCCGTTGTCAAGTTATTTAAGAGTTCCTTCACTGAAACATTTCAGACTATAATTTAAATACATTGCTACAATAATACTAAAACACTCACAGGACTAGGAAATAGGATTTTTAAAAATTCTTTCTAAGCAGAGGGGAAAAAACCCCGACATTACTACAAGACTAAACACCTAATGCCTGTAACAGATGTGTAAATTATTTTATAGAGAAGTACAGCTCTGTGGTTAGTGTTTTGCAAGCTTAAAACATAAGCTTTCCCATTAATATCAATGTCATAATTGTTTAGGTAATTAATTTTGGTTGTCTGTTAGAGAAATTTGCCTTGAGAGATACTTCAGGTAGGATATTTCAGTGCTTTTAATGACTTTGGAGGCTGAGTTTTGCTCCTTGGTGAGACATCTGAAGAACTACTGAAGCACAGAGAGAGACAAAGTCACAGAAAGCTTCACTGCACCAACAGATCAAACGGAGCAGAAGGACACATGACGATCACGAGGGAATTAGACAGCTTTGAGGTCACACGGCAGAATGCGCAGGACCCGCCAGGGAAATGGCAGGGGAGCGTGGGCTGTTGTAGCTGTGCTACCCCCCGAGCGGGCAGCACGCTCCCCGTATCCCATGGCATGTGGTGCTGCGTGCTCCTTCCTTCCTCCACCTGCACTGCTGCTTCATCCAGCCTCAAAAAGCGTATCGTGGGGGGAAAAAATATTAAAAAGTCGCAGTAAAACCAGAAAATGTGATAACAGAAAACATTCAAGAGGACATTGCTTAGGCATTATCGTCATGTTTTCTTGATAACTTTCTATTAAAAGAATAAGTTAAGTAGCAAAATATTTTCTACTTTAATAAAAGTAAACAAAGCAGATTATAAGAAAAAATAAGAAATGGAAAAGTGACATTGCTGCAATAAAAACATTTAGGAAGGAAATAACATGTATTGTAGAATCCAGAAATCTGACAACCCTTCAGCCTGGATTTTACCTTATTCGCTATGATATCCATGCGTACGGACGCATCCCTGACAGCTAGCGTCACTGCAGCAAGTAGCATTTCTCGTCTGTTAGCACTAGTGTCAACTGGCACAATTCTAAATTTAAGAAGCTTATGAGAATGTAACATTTCTAAAATGAATCATGGGAAGTATTACCGTGACTTGAGACTGTAGCAAGGATCCAGTGCAAACTCTGCACTGGGGCTGAGATGGGGAAGAGCTGCCTTACCTGCATGGTGAAGTTTACTCTACCTTTCAGACCACCCGTCTGTGAGTAGAAATGTCTGATGCACCTACCCAAACATCAGCTACTTCTGTTCTCATTATTAAAATGCAGAGTCTAAAGAAACAAAAAGTTGGAAGATTAGACAATAATCACTATTTCTGTGAATGCCATCACATGCATCGCTATGTTAGGTTTTTTGTGTAACTTCTGCAATGTCCTTTGCTGTGCCCTAGGGGACACTGTGACTGAAAAGAACTAGAATAATCACAGCCATGAACACGGAATGTTTAATTAGCCTAGAACAGAAAAAGAATAAACCAAAACAAGCTAGCAAAAAAGCCCCCACAGAGCGGTTATTTCAGCTACAAATCTCAGTGTCTTTTTCTGGAGAGCTTTCAGTAGAGACTCTCCTCCTCCACACATGTGTTGCTTTTCTATATATCATTAAAAATGGTGATGGATAGCAAAGGGAGATGAATCCTTGGCTAACCTAAAGACTCTATAGATGTAGAGCCTAAGACCTTGGCATGTACGTTAGCGTGATTTAGATGGCACAGTCCAAGTCCAAGCCTATGATGCACGAGGTCTTCCATCAGCTGCTTCTACCTAGCGCTGGAGATACTTAAACCAGTTAGGGGTCTTCCTTCCAGGTTCTTGGAGGTGAAGAGAGCTCTGCTTCTGTGCGTGACCAGAACTGCCTGGCCCAGGCAGCTCAGTCTCTCTCAGTCTAGGACAGACCATGTGAAAAACCAAGAGCATCCTTCTGTTTAATTTCTTGTGAGGTTTCATTTACATTCGCTACACAGAAACATGAGCAAAAGCCACAGTCTTTTGAAGAAAGTAAAGCACCAGTGATACAGGAGAGGTTGGCTAAGTGCTGTACGACCCCTCAGTGATCAGAGCGCTTGGCTGGCAAGCGAGAGCCGGACGCACCGTGCCCTCCGAGCGAGGGGGTTCGGTTCCGCCGGCAGAGATGGCACGCGCAGCCGGGCGCTCGAAGCCCTCGGACTCTTGTCCCCTTCGGAGCCTGGCTGGTTTAGGAGACCCCGCAGAACATTGCTCCACGTGAGCTGCGAAACGTGCCCAAGATCTTCTGCAAACTCACAGTGACATGAGGCGAACTCCAGACTTAGTAGGGACTAAAAGCCACGATTATATTTTGCCCAGGAAGAAGCATGGCCGGGGGAGGAAGCGTGGCTAGCGTGCCGGCTCCTGCGCCGCGGGAGGATTTGGTAAATAAAGCACCCAGGGAAGCCCCAGAAACAAGTGTTTCCTGGCAGTTTCTTTATTTATTGCCAAACCTTCGGGCTGGCGAAGGGCAGTCGGTGTCTGGTGGAAAGAAACAGCCTCTGTGGTATTTTTGCGGGTTTAAAAGGCAGTAAAAAGGTGAAAAGACGCAGGCGGCGGAGGCACCGCACCCTCCCTACCCCGCCTGGGAGGAAAAGCCCGGTGGCATCTTTCGCAGGCTGCGGGTTGAGTAGAGCTCTTCTGACCTCTCCTTTGCAGCTTCGCCTGCGAGCGTCCGAAGATCCGAGAGGCGATGTCTGCCAGCCAGAGATCCGCAACGGGCGTTCAGACGCTTTAGCGGAGTCCCCAGACTCCGTGGTGGAGACGGGGCTGGCAGGGCGAGGCGGCGGGAACAGGCTGGGCTGGGAAAGGGGTGGAGGAAAGTCCCTTTCTTCCTTCGGAAACTGGACGGAGCAGCCCTGAGAAAGGAGGAACTCCTTCCGTGCACTTTCCGTGACACTCTGGAGAAGGTCGTGTTCCGTTTCAGCCTGAGACGCAGGACTGACTCACTCTCCTTGTGTTTCTGAAAAAACATCGTTCATCAGTTCAAACGTTTTCTGTTCTTAAGGAAGAGGCTGGTTTTGGCGGTGCTCCTTTGGCCGCTTACCTGCTTTGTGTTTCTGCAGTGACCAGGAGCGAAGGGAAAATATTAGATCATGTCGGAGTTCTGGCTAATTTCTGCCCCGGGAGATAAAACAAATCTGCAGGCATGGGAGAGAATGAACACGGTGACGTCTAAATCCAACCTGTCCAGCAACAGCAAATTCCATATTCCAGACCTAAAGGTAAGCGAGGAAAGGGTTTGGGTGTGGACGATACAGCAGCGTTAGCCAGGACTAAAGACTTTTGGGATAAATGTGGGGTTTATCTTTTGGGATAATATGCAGAGAGTAGAAGAAGGTTGCAGTCGGGGACTGAATTGTGTTCAGTCAACTGAAAACTAATCAGAGAGAAAAGAAGTCATGGTGCTTGAAGCTGACATTCACATTGGAAGGATATATATGTGAGGAGTGAAGATGAGTGAGATGAGTTAAATAACTAATCTGTTGCATTCGGTGTACCACTTGCTCCCAGTCATGAAAGTCACACAGCATTTTACATCCTTGATTGCTAACGCTAAGTATCTAGAACCGTGCCAGTAAGACTGCTGAGAGACAAAATAGTGCTATAATGGACGTCAGTCCTTGGGAAGTGGGTGTGTGTGTATGTTCAGCTAGCCAGCTTCATTTCATCAGACAAATAGGAAGAGTATTAATCCATGATTTTTTTGTATCTTTGCACTATTTAATCCTTGTTTTATAAGATCTGCCACCACCCATCACTTAACGAAGCTACTCTTAGTGCGTCCTGAATCTGGCTTTAATCCAAGAAGACTGATAACAGTTATAACTTGAGCTATCCCAATTACAGAAGGATGCAAGTAAAAGGGGAGCATGGCCTGTTCTCGGGTGATAACCTACCGCATTGTCACATGAATTTGTCACACTGGGAATGTTGCTTTTTGCATGTGCACCTGAGATTGCTATGATTTTTACCAGCTGTGGGCCTTACCCAGCTGGTGCTGGTGTGAGTCTGCTAATGTCAAAGGAAATAAAGCATCTGCAGTACCTGAAGATGCAACCATTAATATTCTGCTAATCATTCTGTGTGAAATTTGTTTCTCCTCCTTCAGCTCAACCCTTCATAATGTTGAGCTGGCAACATTACAAGAAAAGGTTCGGCAGTATATTGCAATACCATAAACATGGGGTTATGACTGTGGCAGAGTCATACAAAAAGCAGATGTTGGTCTAGAAGAAAATGGCTTTGTGAGAGCCTGAGTCTTTGGTAACAGCAAAGAACGCAAACAGAGATTCCTTTCTGAATAAGTGCTGCTTCCCTTGGCTCGCTCAATACATCAGATTTGTTTGTATGTATGTTGTGTGCACTTCTAGTCACTGTTTTATCATGTGAAAGACCAGTCTGTGCTACCTGATGATAATGGGAATGAAAACAGGAAGGAAGACACTGACGTGTCATCTTGAGACTACCCATACATTTTTTCCTTTATCGGAAAGGCTTTTTATGCCCTAGGTCTTGGATAAAGGAATTGTTACAATTTTCCGCTAAGTAAATAAAGTTCCACCAAACTACCGAATTCAGGAGTGCTCAACACAAGTTGGTGTCCCTAGGACTCTGCCAACAGAAGCCTTAGACGGACTTGTGCATCTTTCACCTACTTCTCATCTTTTGCACAGGTGGGGACACTGGATGCTCTTGTTGGTCTGTCAGATGAGTTGGGAAAACTTGATAGCTTTGCTGAAAGGTAAAATAGATCTTATTTACTACCTACAAATGAGACACAGACATTGTTTTTGTGGGACGGTGTGTCCTTGTGTTCACCTCGGTCTGACTCAGTTCAGCCCGGACTACACCTGGACTAAAGGGGATAGGCTTTGTTTAACCCTGGTGTGGGTTATCATGGAGTTATCGCAAAGAAAGGACCATTTCTTTAAATTTGGATTAATTAAATCAGTGGTAGTTTTGTCTGTACAGCAATCTGTTTGAGTGGCAGTGCTAGGGAAGCTGTGGCTCAAAGGGAAACAGCTAAGAAAGTTTTTTTTTTTTTAAAAGAACATCATCCCACCCCATCCAGAAACTTAAATTGATAAAATGGCATTTGGAGAACAGGAAGCCCTCCTTGATGTAATTTTCCCAGAATATGTCTCTTGAGCCTTCTGCCCCTTTTCAACCAGATACAGGAGTTCTTAGGAGTAAGTTCTGAATGAACTCCAGAGCTCACTCTCTCAGACTTCTAAACTCCTTGAAAGCCAGAATATTGACTCACGTTGTATCAAACCTACTTATGCAAAGACGCACGTGACCTGCTTGCTAATCATTGCCCAGATTGCCTTTTGGGCCAAACTGACCTGGGTGTACAAAGAATAATATTGTACAGCAAGCTGAGAAAATGCCAGGTTGTAAGATACTTCGTGGCACAAAGTATGACTTTGTTGTTGAGGAAATGAAAGTACAAGCTGCTGGGGGTTGGGGGTTTTCTTGGTTCTATTTTTTTTTTTTTCTTTCTTTTTTGCTTTGGAAGCATGCCTTACATATAGTTGTGGTCTTGGGCACAGAGGCATGTGTTAGATCTGGGGCTTTTTGCCTTTTTTCCTCCCAGCCAGGACTGATAAGGATTTGCTTGTCTAAATATGCTTGATACTTTCATAGATTTTTGTCTGGCAATTGCAAACACTTACAGAAACACTCATATAGACTGTTTATGTCTGTGCTGGGCTGTTTGGGTAAAAGTAAGTCTGCTAGAATATGTTTCTCCGTAGGATTTTTTTTTTTCCCCACTGGTGCTACAGCAGGGCTGTGTTAGGATGATCACATTTGATCACTCTGGGTTGCACACAGCGTTGATCTTTTTAGAATCACAGAATCACAGAATATCTTGATTTGGAAGGGACCCATAATGATCATCGAGTCCAACTCCCTGCTCCTCATAGGGCTACCTAAATCTAAACGGTGTCTATTTTTTTCAGGATTTTTAGCAGGACAGAACAACTTGATTCATCAAGAAAACCTCTATTGTGACCCTGCCAAAAAACCTGCCCCAAATTAATTGTAAACACGTTCAGGCCTCTGGGTCATACTGCAGAAATTCTTCATGAAGTGGGAACAGGGCAAATTTGAGGAGAGACCAGAGGGTGCCAGTACCTGCTATCTCTTCTGATGGAAGGTGTCTCTAGTCAGGGCAGCAGACAGGCAAGCAACTGTGCGATCTGGGTTTGAGGGCTGCCAAAAATCATGCAGAACTGATTTTCACAATAGATTAAATAATTCCTAGCTTTGTGAAAAATTAGGACTTCCAAAAAGCTGTCTGTAGGATCTGTGCAAGACCACAGCGGAGAATTTTAAGTGAAAAGTCAGTATGAACTCCCTAGGCTCACTGTCTCCTCCTGTTACCTTTGTCTTAACCTGGCAACATGGTACAGCCCCTTGTTCAAGCTGAATGCTGCTTGATGCCACTAATTGTCCCTTTAATGCCAGTAATGACTCTTACCATATGACGTGCTGTAGGCACCAAGCTAAGGGGTAGGTGAGGCCCTTCTGCCGTAACCTGCTGAGGTAAGGACCCTTCCCATTCGTCTTGTTTGCCTATCCAGCTAGGTAATCAAGAAGGATCTGCAAGATTTACAAGTAAGAAAAATGTGTCAAAAAATAAGAAAAATGCATTAGAGTAATAGCAGAGAATAGTCAACGCAGATGAAGTCCCACAAGGATGTACAAGAGCAATTTGCATTAAATAAATGCCCAGGGTTTTGAGTCTAAACCGTGATTCAAGGGTTAAAATGCCAAGCACTGTCACTTTGTTGAAGTAAATGGCATCCAGAGGGTTACAAGCCTGTTCAAATGAACTGAGCATTTATGTTCCTGCTCCTCTGAGTCAGCTACCTGCTGGACTGTTGCTAGATAAACACAACTGCCAGTAAAGCCAGGCAGCACAAACCTGTCAGCGCTGCCTCCGGCCAGGACAGTAGAGAAGGGGCAAGAGTTTGCAGGATCTGTTGTTTCCACATACTTTTATTATTTATTTATGCAGGGAGGCAGAGTGTTTTTCCATGTCGCCGGGTGGTAGCACGGAGCTCTCTCAAGCTGACGATCCCCTTGGTCGCTCTTACCTGGGGGTTCTCCGGCGTCCTCGGTCGGTGGAGCGTTCTGCAGTGGCCTCGGGTTGCAAGGCTTCTGCTCCCCGCCTCGCTGGTAGCACCCTTTAATACACAGTGTTGCTTAAAGAGTGTTAGACTTTTTTGGGTTTTTTTCCCCTGAAAGTAATGAAAGTAATGACAGTGCGGCAATTTCAGAAGCAAAATGTGAGTCTTCCAAGCCTTACGAACAGGCTCCACACAGTTATTCTCCTTACAGGTTCTTATTACTACTTCTAGAGGCAGTTTCGCTGAAACCCTCCCCTTCTATAACGCGTCATTTGAGCATGATATTTGCTCAAGGTGGCATTCATCTCGTCTAAAGGCAGAGGTTTAAGGGTTGGATGTGAAACCTGCTCGCTGCTGGATGTCACTGTATCTGACGGGACTCCTGTGGGGTCTGATTCCTCTCGCTTGCCTCAGACACCCGTGGTACGCAGGGTGCGAGTTCTGTCTTTGCATGGGGAATGTAGTGGGTGAGTGAATCCCGCCTGCATTTCACAGGGTGCCAGGCAAGGCGCAGAGACTAAGCCAGGACTGGAGAACATTTCTCTGGCCTGGTGTGTACACACATTCTGGCCGTATCTTGCTGTAGGGACCCTGGGGCGCATGGGCTGGGAGGGAGCAGCCAGGACTCTCAGACGCGCAAGAGCACATACCTGTGCCACCACCTATGCCCATGGAGAGAGAACAGAGCTAACTGTCTCCCACCTATCAGGTTAGCCCCCAGCTCCACTCAACAGCAATGAAAGCAGCTCAGGCCCCTTGGAAAAGCCACTGGTTTATACACTTGAAGTTGGCTGCTTTCTCCATAACATCCTTAGCCTCCTGCTGTACTGTTGTTACCAGCTGGGCTGGAGTCCTGTCCTGTTCCAAGTTCCTTTGGGCTCCCTGGGCATCGTGAAGGAGCTGAAAACCAGCTGTGTCTACAAGCTGAAAATCGCAGAAGTGCTTGGCAAGGTCAGAGCTGTCAGGGAACCGCTGTGTGGATCACTGCACCCTCCCCGCAGCCCCAGGGTGGGCAACACGCCGTGTTCTCCAGCAGCGCTCAGCCGGCACCAGGTCCCTGGGCGGCTGCAGCCGGATGGTGACAAACTGCAGCAGCCCTGAGAGGGGGATGTGAACCGGAGCACAGTGGTGTAGGTTCCTCCTACAGGCACTCTGAAATGTGCCTGTTCAGGGTCATGAGAAGAATGGTTTGGGCTGGAAAGGACCTTTAAAGGTCTTGCTGTGGGCAGGGATATCTTTCGCTAGACCAGGTTGCTCAGAGCCCTGTCCAACCTGACCTTGAATGTTTCCAGGGATGGGGTACCTACCATCTCCCTGGGAAACCTGTTCCAGTGTCTCACCACCCTCATTGTAAAGAATTTCTTCTTTATGTCCAACCTAAATCTATCCTCTTTCAGTTTAAAACTGTTGCCCCTTGTCCTGTCACTAGAGGCCCTGGTGAAAGTCTCTTTTCGTCTTTCTTATAAACCCCCTTTATATATTGAAATGCTGCAAGAAGGTCTTCTCTTCTCCAAGCTGAATGACCCAAAGCAACAGGAGACTACTGCATGCTTGGCAGCATCAGCAAGCTCTGATTTTTCCTCCCTATCGCAAGACTGGAAAACCTTTCCAAGGACTGTGAGTTCCTTCACTGGAATGGAGATACAGGGAATCTTTTCCTCCATGAAGTACTGCTTTTAAATGGCCTGTAAATCTGCTTTGCAGCACATCAAAGAAAATCCTTTTCTCTGATGCTCTCTTGGTTCTGTACCTGGCCTGAAGTCCCTTTCCTGAGCTCTTGAAGGCCACAGGATATCACAGGACACATTGTCCAGACACTGCAGGTGCCCTTTCAATCTCCAGCTCATCTGCAGCCATAGTAGCCTCCCCTCTGTAAGGAAAGCAAGAGAGAAGCAGCCTGTCATTTTGCTCCACCCCCTGTCACCACGCCAGGGATTATGTCTGCTTCGTGTCTCTGCCAATTTAACGGTCAGGCAGTTACTTTTTAGCTGTAGTGTTTTTTATAAGGTGTAGTCAACCTGTAATGGTTAGGGAACTGAAGGCCATATTTGGTGAATACTTCTGAGTACAGAAGGATACTGGAACAACCAGAAAGGCTCTTGGCCTGTGTGAGATAGGTACTTTGATCCAGGGGGATCTACTGCTGGGGGGACTTGATGAATCCATTTTTTAAAATAAGCAAATATGAAGTAACTGTGTGGAGACAATGTTCTCCAGGAGGGGCTCTGTTCATTTCAGGGCTCTGAATTGGGCAGAAGGAGGATTTGAATCTAGTTCTTCCAGATGTTAAAGGAGTGTCTTGTCCATCACGCTAATGAGAAGAGAGAAGGAACCCCCTCAGGAAAAGGTATAAGGAGGAAATTCTCCCTGTGAAACAAAAGAACATTATTGTTTTCCTCCGAGGACTTTGTAAGAACTTTGTATCAGCAAGCCATAAGACTTTATTTAGCATCCCATGGAACAGATTTTCAGCCAGCATTAGCCTGTGTGCAGCCTCTTGTTCCTCCATCATCTCTGGAGTTTCAAATATGGGTTTCTTGCCTTCTGGTTTCTGCTATGAGTGTCATGAGTACACAGAAGACTGAATCTTGATCTTCTGGAAGTCTAGAGCACTGGGGAGATGCTATTACCTATGTGTTTGCAGACATCAATGTATTTAAAAAGAAGGCATTTAGTTCTGCAGTATGCCATAGGTTGTTTATCATTATTTGAAATGCAAATTGACCTGCCTTGCTTCAGAAGTGTTTTGTTTGGGCATCTCCATGTTTATCAGATCATTGTAGCAACTGTTTTATATTCACTTTGTTTCTTCACTAACAAAGCTTCTCTTCTTACGCCTAAGTGTAATAAAGAAAGTAGCCCAGTACATAGGAGAAGTTATGGAGGACTCGAAAGACAAAGTCCAGGAAAATCTTCTGGCCAATGGAGGTAGGTGCTGTGAATGTGGGTTTTTTTAATGCATTGATGCTGCCTTTATTTGCTTAAGAATATGAACATGTGGAATTGAAACACTCACACATTAGAAAGGACAGCCATCAGCAACATTGTTTAAGAACACATCTAGCCTGCTCCCATTTTTCTGGGAAAGCAGCAGCTTTATCCAGTGCCAACTTGGCTTCCAGGACAGTGTTCAGCGTCTAGTACTGAGCTAGTTTCTGACACCAGAGCTGCGAAGAGGAAAGCAGGAGACATCCTTCCTCCCTCCTGAAGTGACCTAGCACCTTTCTGTGCCCTGTATGGGCTTGAGCTCTTACACACAGCTAAATCTCATTCTGCATGGCTGCACGACATCTGCCAGTGATCTGTTAGTGGTTTGCCTTCCCTCCTGCAGGGCTGGGATAGATCGCGTGGTTAACTGTGGACTTCTGGCGTCACAGGTGGACATGTGAGGCAACAGCTCCGAAACATGGAGCCAGGGCTGCACTCACGAGGCCGTGCCCAGGGCTGGCAGGACCTGCACCTGCTACTCCTGCTTGTTAGGAGGTGGTACACGTGCTGCTCCTGCTTGTTGGGAGGTGGTACATGTGCTGCTCCTGCTTGGTAGGAGGTGGTGCACGTGCTGCTCGTGTGAGGAGGAAATGTCCTTCGGTGGTGTCCTGCCCTGGCTGGCAGCAGCTGCATGGCAGAGGAGGAGAGCAGGCACTGACAGCAGGGGCTCTCCTGGGAGCCCATGACCTTACCCTGTGCTCCCCTGTAGCATCACTAAGCAGTCCATGTGGTGTTTTTATAACCTCCGTGAGCTAACTTTCACCCTTTGGTATGGTACTCAGAGCCCTAAAGGGAGCCTGCACTGGGGACAAAATGAACATTTAGGAACTGATGGCTCCTAGATCTCTGCACCTTTCATTAGACCCTGAGTGCGTTTCAGAGCAAATTTCTCCCCAGCTATCCTGGAAAAGTACAGTGAAGGTGGATGTGTTACCCCTGCTAGTGACGGGGTTGTCGAGCAACTCTGCCATATAAATAAACTAACAGTGCACACTCCATCGCCCTTTGAGTGTCTGCAGTGTTGCTCTTCAGATCTGTACGAGTAAAGGATGGGGAGGAAGTTCATTTGGAGATGTCCTTCTTGCATGAAATAAGACTGACATTTGATGAGTGCAACTGCTTGACAGGTACAATAATCCCACTTCTTGTGTTTCAGGGGTAAAGGATAAAATGAAATGTCTAAAAAGTATGTTGAGGATTGATGATTGCGGTGGTGTTACAAGCATGCATTGGTGTGTATTAGTGCTAGAGACAAGTCTTGGTCTGGTTGTAGAGATACAGTGATCAGGTTACGATGGATTTCTCAAGTAACAGCCTCGTAGCTCGATCACGATATCCCTATGACTTGAGAAACAACAGGTTTCACTTATTTCCTTTGTTTCCTATTTTTACACCATTTTTCTTTCCTGTCAACTCTGCATGTGTTGCAACAGAAGGGAGTGGAAATTGTATTTGTTACTAGTTTCTATCATCTGATTGGATTTGGTCATCCGAACAAATCATATTAAACTAAAACATTAACCTTTCCAAGATTATTGACTGCATCTTAAAAAAATGAGTCAGCTTTAGTATAGGAGGATTTCCTTAATACATTCCAGAATCATTCTACATAAGCAGCAGCAACTTTGCTGCACAAATTCTCCCTCTTCCCCTTTCTCGTTAGCAAAAGGACCCTGAAGTTGAAGACTTCCTCGAAGTGGTGAAATCAGAAACAAAATTTTAAGACACGACTTCTTGCTGCGTGGTCCTGTTTCAGACTATTAGACCATCCCAACTCAAACTGTGTTTTAAATTATACAAGTTTTCTGATTTTAGCTCAGTTGTATATATGCCTGACAGCAGTTTGGTCCACTGCCTGATGAAAGTGGTGGCTGTGTGTCTAACAGTTGTTTGGTTAGATTTGTGTGAAGAAAAATGCAAAGTACCAGAAAATATGGCACTTTTATTTAAGTGAACACACACGCTACTTTCCAGTGAGCAACAGCTGGAAGCAGCCACATGGAGATGTCTCTCTTGCAGAAGGAAAACGTGTGTTTGTGTAATAAGGGGAATTTTAGTATATCACAACAGCAGGGAATGCTTTCTGGCTTATGACAGAATAAAAAATATGAAATGTAAGTAAAGCTTTTCTCCAAAGATTTGGACCGAATTCTGTTCCATTTATAGTAATGTTAAACCCAAGTGAATTTTAAAATTTGGTAAGTGGTGGAATAACTCCATTCTTTGTAATGAGCTCAAAACAAAGCAAAATGGGAAGCATAATAATTTTGAAGAATTAATGGTTTTGAAGGGAAAGTATTTCACATTGCCTCTTGGAGCTGGGTGAGCAAATCAAGAGTTACGAGAGGTTCAGGCTGTGGGGTTCCTGGGCAGCTGCGAGCGCGTTGGATTAGGTACGAGCATCTCTGCTGGACGGGCAGCTATGGGAAGTCTTTTAGAAGTGACTTGACAGGTTCCATAAATGAGGGGTCCCGTTCCAGGAGCAGCACGGACTGCTTGGACTGCTTGGCATTATAAGCTCAGTTCTGCTAGTGTGTTCACAGCAGTTTGTGCCATCCCCAAGATCAGGCTGCTTAACGGAACTGCACCGGTGCCAGAGCACTGCTGGAGAGTGAACTTGTAAAATGGGCCGAGAACTCAGGCTGCGCTTTGCCTAACGTGGATTCCGCTGAGATTCAAGGAATGCGGGGATAGAAAGGGCGCGTGACAGTCTTCAGGGAACTTCCATATCTCCTCAGCTACATATGGGTCAGTGCCTGCCTTTGAAGAGCCTGTGAATACACTGCTCCTCTGCACAGCCATGCTCTTTGCAGGTTTCATTCCCATTGAATTTAGCAAAGCCTAAGCAAGAAAGCTTGGAAGAGAGGCAGTGGGACGAAATCTTGGTGACCATGAGCAAGCACTGCCGTAGAGCTGCGCACGCTGGAGCTGTGTGATAGCTCTCCCTGCCTTTTGCAGTCCTGCCCCCTTCCCACACCCTCCCTGTGCAGGAGGATTTGCTGATTCCCGATCAGACCTTAGCAGGGAGGGTTGGGTATTTGCCTCATGACTTCTGTCCATTGGATGTGGAGAAGGTTTACAGAGCTGTGGTTTTCAAAGAAAGAGGGGGAGAACACAGTCATGCCAGTGCTCTCTGCCTCCCAGGCATTTTATCCTGTGCTAAGAAGCCTGTTTCCTCCTAACATAAGACTTTCAATGCTTTAGAAATCTAATAGGGTAAACTGACTCTGTTGTGGGGTGAGAGGAGTCTGTGGAAAGGATAGTGCTCTCCTGCCAAGGGTGTTCGGTGTCACGAGACAGGGTAGTACCCTCAGCCTGGTAGTGTGGCAATTACACAACTTTTCACATTCCTTCTCATGCATCTCGATTCATACTTTTCCCCACACCCTGGAAGTCCAGCCCTCAAGAAATTATGCTCAGACCTCGCTGTGGGACTGAATTAACTCTCTGGACAAGGCAGCAAAGAGCACTGAACGGCCCCAGCATGTCCCTCCTTTTACTTGGCACCTTGAGCTTCTTTTGCTCCTCATCTCCCCAGAGCAACTTCCCAGATGTCCTCTGTGTTTACCCTCCTGGTCTGGAAGGAAGCCCACCTTGCAGGTGACAGTGCCTCTGGCCTCTTTCTCTAGACATTGAGACCCTGCCTGCTGCCTTCCTCCAGCCTCCTTAGCCTGCCGGGGGACAGTCCCAGCTTGTCATGGCAGGATGCGTGACTTTATCCCACCCCATAAAGTCGCCCAAGAGCATATGTGTTTGGCATCCTAAGGGCTCTCAGGATTCCGGCAAAGAGCTTTCTGATTTCATGAGCTGCGAGAGGAGAACTATTTATTTGGTACCATAATGTACCAAGCCTTAAGGTTTTCTGATGTTAAGAAGCCTTGGTCTTCGAACAGAGTGAAACAGCGCGATCCTGTTCTAGGAGCTGGGTGTCATATGTGTCATCTCCCCTTGACTCTGGGAAGAAGCCATGGCTCCCCGAGGTCCGAAGGTGCCTTGTTCTGGGGGGCTGCATGCACAGGGCCTTGCTGTGATTTGCTGTTGTTGCATGCTGTGACTACATTTATCCATTTAGAGAAATACTGTGTAGCTTTGTGTGAGAGGGGGAGCTCTGTGTGCAGTCAGTGAGGAATTCCCCATTGCACCTGAATTGGTTTGATTTCTAGTGAGAGCTTGACTTGATTTCTAGTGAGCTTGAAGTGACATCAGCTATGCTCTTAATACCTCAACAGTCTGGAGTATTACTGCTAGTCCTGGGCATAAAGTATTTTTCTGATACCTCTTGCCGGGATTTAATTCAGACATGTTTCAATAATCACAACTGAGGTTACGTGGACCTGTTTCTGCTGTAAAGAGGAACGGCTGCACATTGCTGTGTCCTGCTGATACAGCTAATTTTACAGTAATGCTTATTCTATACTGTTAGGTGTAATGCAGAAAAGATTTCTGGTTCAATTTCTAAGTCTGGAGATGTTTAGAAAGGTGATTAGGTTGGGCATATGACCTGTGTGGATTTGATCTAGATCAAATTTCTATGAGGATTTCTATGAGGTGGGCTTCTGGTTCACACCCATCGCTAATATTAATCAAAATTATACCTAGGCTATAGCTGGGGACTACTACCCAAACTTTGACCTGCCATCTGGTAAACTGTCTGCTTTAATGCATCTCTTTGTATTTTCAGTTGACCTGATCAGCTACCTGACACGGTTTGAGTGGGACATGGCCAAATATCCCATAAAGCAGCCGCTGAAGAATATCTCAGAAGCATTAGCAAAGGTAAATCGTGCTTCAAATCGTACAAAGATGTCAGCATGGGGAAGCATGTCTGTTGGTAGTTTTTGGTCCCTCCTGCGTGGCAGTCAGTGAGAGCTTTGCCTGTGGTTTGGGCAGGAACACGCTCAGAAGCACACACTCTGCACTGAGGCGTTGATAGTATTTTAATTTCTTCTGTAATAGTAATGAATCATATACTTAAACCTATCCAATCTGTAAGTATGTGGCCCTTTATCAGATTTACTAGAGTACCTTGACGTGCTTTCTGCATTTTAATCCCCTTCGTTGTAATATTTTATTGTTTTTATATACAGCCATATTATTCTCCATTTTGGAGTTCTTTTGTGAAATTGTTGGCCTGACACGAAATCAAACGCGTTGCAGGCTGGATGAATTATTAACCCTGTCACTCCATTCAGGAAGGCCTCATGTTCAATATCGATGACAAATGGCACCATGACTGGCTCCTTAGGCACAGCTGTCACGCGGAGCGGCAGCGAACTGACTCCGGCTTTCTGCAGAGGCCTTTGCCGCAGGGCAGCTCTGACCCAGCTCCCTCTCGGCCGCAGCCGGGGCGCTTGTACCAGGGGCTGAGTCAAGGCACAGGGATAGCAGGAGGGGGGTGAGGACAGCACCTCAAGCACCGGGTTGACTTACTATTTTTACTTGGTTTTAGCAAGTGACTCAGATAGAAACAGACCTAAAGACCCGATCAGCTGCGTACAACAACATCAAAGGAAATTTGCAAAGCCTGGAGAAAAAAACGGTGTAAGTCTCGCACCCGCCTGTTCGCATCGGGAGCGCGCCGAGCTGAGGACAGTGCCTGCCCACACCCACTGCGGTGCCGTGGGCCGGGTGTGTCCCGCTGGGAACACATTTTTCTGGCTTCTGGCCATGC